CCTTGTTTGTTTCACCATTCTTTGCCTGTCTTTCCTGTTGACTTTTCCTTTCCCTACTTCCCTATTCACCTTTTCTAATTCTCAGTTCTCTTTTCAGTAATTGCCTTATCTTATTTTATTCAGAACATGGAATGTAAGTCATGGAATTTATTTCATAGATTTAGTGATTATATTATCTGGTCGCAATGAGTCTGAGGACTTATGGAAATTACTTACAGAATAGGATGGTCATAGGTATAATCCTATTTCATCGCCTCTTAATCTATGTATTGGAAACTGATTAAAATTTTTGAATAAAACTGTATGTCCCCTTCTAAGTATTATCATTAGACAAAAACAATAATTTTTTGCCTCTCAGCAGTTTGGAATAAAAGTTACACATTTGGCAAACATCTTCCTGTGAAGTGAAACCAATCCTTTGGCAAAGGATAGATTGAGATGGATGAGACTATCCAAAATATGGCTCCTGGCTTACAAGAGCTTGGACTTCCCAATATGTCATGAATCCAGGCACTCTCCTTTCTTTAGTAGGTTTATTTATGCAACTATCTTACCTACCAAATGCTACCTTTTTTTTTTATGGAACTGGGGCTTGAACTCAGGGCCTACACCTTGAGCCACTCTACCAGCCCTTTTTTGTGATGGTTTTTTCCCAAGATTGGGTCTCACAGACTATTTGCCCAGGCTGGCATCCAACTGTGATCCTCCTGATCTCTGCCTCGTGAATAGCTAGGATTATAGGCGTGAGCCACCAGCGCCAGGCTACTTTTTTTCTTTGTGAGAACTGTGTACACTGAACTGTAAAATTAAGCTACATTTCCTCTTTTGAGATTGCTCAACTTCCTCCTCTGGACTTTCCAGAGATGAACTATTGGGAGAAGAGTCAGAATGAGTAAGCAAAGGGGTTATTGAATACTTCTTTGAAAAGGGTGTGTTAAAATATGAGCAACTGATCCAGGGAGGCAAGGCCAGTGGGTTAATGGTGTGTGGTGAGATTGGTCTCTGGATTTCCAACATTGCCAAATTTTTCTGTTTCAAATGTCCTTGTAATGTGAGCCATCTACTCAACTACAGGGTTGGCATTACCTATGTACCCATGAAGACATTATTTTTATTTCTTTCAGCTCTACCATGGCTACCATATGCTGGTCCTAGTTGTGCTATCTAGTGACTCTTGATTGATAATTATATATAAAACAAATATGTACTTCATTGGTCTCAACTCTGGTTACACATAAAAATCAACTGGGGAATTTAAAAACATTCACAAAAGAGAGGGGCTTCACACTAGCCCAATAAAATCAAACTATCTTGGTTGAGCCTGGGGCATCAGTCTTCCTTCAAAAGCTTCCCTCATGTCTCTAGCATGGCCAGAGTTGAGAGCCCGCGGTTTAATGGAATAAACACCTATCATTTGTTATGATCTGCATTTGTTGGAGGATTTTTTTAATGATTTGAAAATAGACATGTTTTTGCAAAGAAGTTGGATTTTCTTAGCAACACTCCTTTTAAAGGAGTTTCTTATCTCAGCTGAAACCTTGTAAGTATACTTTTGGGGAAAGTCTGTCCCAGCACCCTTAAAAGAAAGTTAAAAAAAAAAAAACTTCTCAAAATATTGACACATTGCATTCCAGAAGTTCTGAGTCATGCACAGGATGAAAAGGAACTACTGAAATTCTCTTTAAATGTTTACAAAATCCACCTTAAAAGGCTTCATGAGCAATTATCCATTTTCCCATTGTAAACTTGGCATGGGAAGCTTAGCTGCTTCTGTCTGCCCTTTTCTGGGTTTGAGATGAGTCTGCACTACTTTTTCACTGTGTGATATTGACCTAGTGTCTTCACCTCACTGAAATTCAATTGTCTGATCAGTACAATGGACCTGTGAGACCTTACAGATGGTGCAGAAGAGATCGGAATGAGAACTTTGTAGATTGTGAAGTGCTACTTAACAGAAAGCCAATCGAATCCTATTCTGCTAAGAGATTTTAAAGTCAGTGTGGAGTGTGTCTGACAGCTCAATATACATTGAAAAATACATATACACCTATGTATAAGAACCACTTCCCCCTGTCCCTTTGCCCAACCCCTAAGAGACCCACACAGCTGCTTCTTGTGCAGGGTGGGGAGGAACCATCTCATGCTGGAGTTCTCCATGGAAATTCCTCTGTCCACAGGTCCCCACACCCAGCTCCAGGACAGCTGTTCAGTTCATTGATAATCCTTATTTTTTTAATTCTGCTTTTTTCCCCCCCTTTTAAATTAGAAATGCAAACTGAAATTTTCAGAGTTATGGGATATTTTGCATATGTTTTATCTGAATATTTGAATTTGTCATAATCAACATAATAATAGTTTAAGATCTAAAAACACTATGGGCAAAATGAGTCAAGTTTAAGCAATTTAGTACTGAATAGCTTTCGTGGAAATTGTAAAATACATTTCTCCCAATTAATATGATTAATACTGCATCCTTTATAGGATTAGGACTTCTTAGAAGGAAGATGGTAGTAAGTTAATTTGTAAGTTAAATGTTTCATGCAAAGAGGTTTTTTTGTCTTTCTTCAAAATATGGGTTCTCAGATGGAAAATAAACCAAGTCATAAGTCACAGCTCAGTTGATTTTCACAAAGTGAATCTCAGAGCATGAAAGGAATATAGTCTTCCCAGCAGTCACTTATCTAGAAATGTAATTAGTTTTTGAAACCTGTACATAAACTGAATCATGTGATTTACTTATTTTTTAGGTGGCTGGTGGGGAGGATTTGGATTTCTTTGCAGTCATTTGTATGTATATTATAGATTAATTCATTCTCATTATCATAGTGTATTCCATTGTTTGAATATACCACAATTCTTTTTTTTTTTTTTTTCCCTCGAGACCTGGTCTGACTATGTTGTCCAGGCTGCTCTTGGATCCCAGGGCTCAAATGATCCTCCTGCCTCACGCTCCCAAATACCTGGGACTATAGGCAGGCGCCGCCATGCCTGACGTCATTAGCTTTTTGTGTGATGAATGTTTGGGCTTTGGATTTGGGGGACTGTAAACCACAGTACTGTAGACATGTGCCTTTTGCTGAACATTTTGGGATACACATACATGTACACACAAGTGCAATTGTTGAGTCATATGTGCAGCTTCAGTGGATACTGGCAAACAGTTTTCTGGTTTGTGCTTCCTTTAGGAGTTCATGAGAGTTTCAGTTGCATCACAGTTTTTAGTAGCATATAACACAATGTTGAGGACGCATGTTCTCACTGTTGGATAACTAGTGAAATAATAGGTGGGAGAATGAAACAACAAATTCTGATTATTTCAGAAGAATGCAAGAAAGAGTAAAACAAGTGAGTCACAGAAAACAAATAGTAATATAACACCTGTAACTCAATATATCTGTGACCACCATGAACGTAAGTGGACCACATATTCCAATTCTAGGATTGAAAATGTAGAGTGGGGGGGAAAACCACAAGTACATATGCTTATAAGACACGTATCTTAAAATATAAGGACAGAGGAATATAAATATAGAGGACAGTAAAAGTTATATTGTGCTAGCAATATCAGAAAGCAGATGTAGCTACATTAATATTAGATGAAGGCTTTAGAGTAAAAAGAATTGCTAGATAAAAAGGACATTTTGTATTGAATAAAGGGCTTGATTAATCCAGTTGGTGTAGAAAAACTAGCAGTATCTACTGAACACATATGACTCAACAATTGCACTTGTGTGTATCCCAAAATAAATATATACATATGTTTAGCAAAAGTACATGTCTATAGTACTGTGGTTTGTGTGTGACATGTTTGGGATCTGAGCATGTGCATTAACAAGGCTTTACCTGGAAGGCCTCACAGGAAAGCTGCCCTCCCCCGACCAGACCTGAGGGACAGCCCATGTACTGAGGTCCCCCGCTGGAATTGCAGTGAGGACTGCCCCTGCCGGCCACACCCACACAGAGCTGCCTTCCTAGCCCAGGTCCCTTCATTTGGAGGCTTCTTTTTCCCAGGGTTTCCAACAGAGTCCTTCTGGAAACCACCTCTGCAAGGGGAAGAAGGGAACTTTGTTTTCTCTTTGCAGACTCAGTAGTTTTCCACTCTTCCTCGCTCCCTCTTTTCTGTTCTTGGGTCTGTATTACTTCATGAACCTTTTGGGGAAGAGCTCCCTGGATAGTGAGATCTTCACATTTGTGCTAATCTGCTAATCCTTCACCAAAGTCCCCATTGCACAGGGAAAGTGGAACAAGGAAACTGATGCATTCTTTGGTGTAGGCTCTTGTTTATAGCATCATAGCAAGTGGTAAGGATTTGACTGCTGTTCTCTTTTTTTATCATATTACTTTAACTAACTAGTCAGACACCTGGCAGCTCAGCTGAGTGCCCAACAGGGGTTAATCCACCAGGAAACTATAACAGTTCTAAATATGTGTGCCCTAATGATGTAGTCTTGAAATATATAAGCAAAAATGAGTAGAAACTTGAAATTTATTGAGATGTAACATTCACAGAAAAGCGTGCAGTGAAGACAATATAGCTCAGTGAGTTACTGCAGTGAGCTTATCCGTATACCAAGGTGTACAACCTTTCCAGGACCTCCGAGGGGAACCTGAGAGGCCTCCCAACCACTATTCCCCTCCTTTTTCCTGAAGGTTGTGGCTGTCCTGACTTCTAGTATGATAGATTAGGCTTATCTGGTTTTAAACTCTATGTAACAGAATCATCAGTATGTATTCTTTGTACTTGGCTTCTTTTACTAATATTATAGTTGTTAGATATGCTTTTAAATATCTTCTGAATATTAACTTATCTTATTTCAGATGTTTTAGAAACAAATTATGAGAGCTTACGTGTACTAAATGTTGAAAGAAATGGAAATATTATTTACACCTATAAGGTATGTCTATGTCCTCTTTTTATTGTGGCAAAATATATATAACAAAATTTACTATTTTAACCATTTATAGTTTATTTTTACAGAATTTTTTACTATATTGAAGGGCAACAGATACAACTTGGTGGTACTTATTTAATATATAACCTTGTTTTCTGTGTATGTGATATTGAATAGAGTGATTGAAATTCCACCTTATAAAATGTTTTCTTTTGCTGGGTACAGCAGCCCATGCCTAAAGAGGTAGCGGTTGGGAGGATTGCGGTTCAAGGCCAGTCTGATCAAAAAGTTCCTGAGGCCATATCTCAACCAATAAAAAGCTAGACATGTGCTTATTATCCAACTATCACCAATTTCAGCCTAACTGCCAAACCTTATTTGAAAAAGAAAGCAAAAAGGTTGGGAGCATGGCTCAAGTGGTAGAGTGCCTGCCTAGGAACTGCAAGACCCTGAGTTCAAACCCTTGTATTGCAAAAAAAACCCCAAGATTTAAAATAGTAAAGCTGCTGCATATCTGAAATATGTAGTAAATGAACAATATCATTTTGTAGAGGAAAAAGCTAAGATGTGTAAGCCTAATTAAGGTGTTAAATTTTTATTTGTGAGAAAATGTTAATAGGATTATTCTGTGTTTCAGAATTAGATATTCTTGGACTTTTGGGACATTGTTTAAGAATGTGTTTTCTATGTTAAGTGTTCTAAGGAAAACTGAACTTTATTGATAACTTTACTGTAATGGGAACATGTGGAAAAATAATTCCAGTGGCCACTCTCCTTTGCACAGTTGTATCACTGTACATTTTCTCCTTTAGTTAAAAAAATTATTTCATTGCCTCTAAGGATAGTGCTTTTAAAGAATCATGTGATTCAAAAGTTTTACTCATGTAAGAATGCCTTGGGTTTATTTTAGGCAATCTCATTACTCATCATTTATATTCTCTTAAAGATACAACTGGAGGTACAAAAAGATTTTCATCATGCTCAATCCTGAGTTTGGGTCCCCAAACTCACTGAGCTGTGCTGTGTTGATCCAGTTTACTCTGAGCTCGAATGGCCAGCTGAATTCAGTTCTGTCCCTTTTGAAATGTACAGCAAGCTTCCTTTCAAGTGCTTATTGCTAGGATTGGATGAATTGTTGCAGGTTTGTTTTTAAAGCCAGTGACAACTTAACTTCCTAAACAATGGCATCTAATAAAATCTGTTTTTTTGTTTTTTTTTTTTCTTTTTAGGATGATAAGGGAAATGTTGTCTTTGGATTATATGATTGCCACACCAGACAAAATGAGGTAAAAACATTACCATAAATCATATATTTTTCAACATTTACTACTTCTAGAATTTTCTGCTTTTTGCCCCCTCTTTTTAGATATAAACCACAGTATCATTTTCTAAATCTTCACATCTCTTTGTCTTCCTTCTCTTCTCTCATTTCTTTACTATTTCTCAGCTCCATTATAAAAAAAAATCGTGTAAGGACTTCTGAACAAAAACATCACCTAAAGTCTTAGTCATTTGAGATTAAGTAAAATTGTCTCAATCCAACTTTTCCAATACTTAGTTAAAAATAAAAAAGTAAGTGCAATGTCCTCAAGATGGTTTGTGTTTTCCAGGTCATTGCTTCCATTTAAGCTTTGCTTAATTTGCTTCTCATTCCTTTTCAACCATCTAGGTACAGAACTCAGCCCCCTTTCCTTAAATTTTTCCTGAACTATTCACAGAAGGAATTGGTTGGTGTAGGCAAGCTTTGCCTAATTTGAGGAGGGAGGGAAGAGAGAGGGAATGCAGTGTTTTCCCTGTGAGGTGCTGGAGACACAGTGGTGACCAAGACAAATTCTGTCACAATACACAGTCATGGGAAAGAGGCAGACAGTAAAATATCAAGTTTTAATGCAACCTTTTGTTTGCTTTCTTTATGGTGAGTCCTAGGAGGATGTGTTTGGGAGGAGGCATCTTAGGTGAAGTTGGTCTGTTGTGCTGGGCATTACCATCTTTTGTTGGTATATCATCTCTCCTGAGTCTGTAAGTGCGTGACCGAGGAGCATTTTGCACACCAGTGTGTTTCTAATTCAGGAACTTGGGGACATGTTCAAACCACAGCAATTGCTACGCCCTCTCTCTCCCTATCCCTCTACATACTTAAAAACTCTCACAACACATTTGTTTTTTTATTGACCCTTTTGATTTTATTGAGGGATTGAATTTGCATGACAAGTCTAGTTGGGCTTTAAAATTCTTTTCAAGTACTGTGTTTTTGCCTGGGAAAGGTGCTGCCAAGAGAAAGATGGTGTTTCCTTTGGTGACAGAGCTTCAGGATGGAATAATGCCACCAGATATTAGTTTTTCTAAGTATGTTCTTTTAAAAGGGTACAGCAGTGTCCCATGTACCCTTCACCCAGTTTTTCTCAATTATTACATCTTTTGACACATAGTGACACAAGTCATTAAAAGCAGGAAGTTGACATTGGTGGAATGTGTGTGTTAGTTCTATGCCATTTTATCTCATGTGTAGGTTCCTGTCATCACCCCTGCAGTTCATTGAGAACCTTCCTGCACTTACAGTTGTCTTCATATTTTCTCTTTTTAAAAAAAAGACATTCATGTACATTTTTATTTTATTTTGTGTACCCTGGGCCTGGCACATGCTAGACCACTTGCTTTACCCCTGAGCTACACCCCAGATTCTCTTCATTTTTTAATATCCACATCTGATATGAGACTTTTTGTCTATATTGTCAAACCTAATTTAGAAAACACAAAGGGAGAGGGAAAGCTTATATTTACCCATATTTTTGCTCTTTCCATTGTTCTTCCTTCCTTATGTTCCTTTTAAAAAAAATTTCTTTTTTTCTAGCAAGAAATGTTAGCCATTATTTTAGGTTATGTTGATGACATTCTCACAGTTTTCCTTCATCTGAAAATGTCTTTTTTTTTTTTGCAGTGCTGGGCTTGAACTCAGGGCCTTCACCTTGAGCCACTCCACCAGCCCTATTTTTGTGAAGGGTTTTTTTTCAAGACAGGGTCTCTCGAACTATTTGCCCCAGCTGGTTTCAAACTGTGATCCTCCTGATCAAGACTGAGTATCTCCTAAGTAGCTAGGATTGCAGGTGTGAGCCACCAGCACAAATGTCTTTCTTTCATTCTGGAAGGATAATTTTGCCAAATGTAGAATTCGGATTGATCCTTTCAGCTCTTGAAAAATGTTTCATCACTTCCTTCTGGTCTCTGAAGTTTTTTGTGAGAAATCTGTCTTTTAAATGGTTTTCTCCTAGACATAAGGTGTCATTTATTTTTTTCTAATCACTTCCAAAAAATGTTTTTCTCAGATGTGTCTCTGTGGATTTATTTGTGTTTTTCCTATTTGAGAGTTATTTCAGGTTTTTTTTTTTTTTTTTTTTTTTTTGGTACTGGAATTTGAACTCAGGATTTGATGCTTGCTGGGCAGGCACTCTACCACTTGAACCATGGCTTGAGTCCTTGTTTTGCTCTGGGTATTTGGTCTTGCTTTTTCCCTCAGTCTGGCCTTGAATGGCATTCCTTCCGATCTCAGCCTCCCAAGCAGCTAGAATTAGAGGGATGACCACCAGTATATGGCTCATGAATGAATCTGCCGTCTTTTGTCCAATTTGGGGCATTTTTAGTCATCAGCCACTATCTCTTCAAGTGCTTTTTAAAAACAGTCCAACCTTGTTTCTCCTCTGTTTTTATGTTTTTTATGGTTGTAGTCTCACAGACCTGAGGTTCTGTTTGTTCCCCCTTCCACCACCCTCCCATTTATTTTCTTCTTGTAGTCTCACAGACCTGAGGTTCTGTTCTTCTCGTTCCCTCCCACCACCCTCCCCATTTATTTTCTTTCTGTTCATCTCGATTCAGATACTTGCTACTTGCTTTATCTCGGTTTTCCTGATTATTTTTTCCTGTCCACCTATTTTGTTGCTGTTTTTCATCAAGACTTTTAAAAATTTTTGGCTATTTTTAACTTCCTTCAGCTTGTAAAACTTTCGATATTTTTCTGTTTTTATGCTGCTTACTTTTCCTGGCTAAGACTTCCAAATTTTCGAAACACAATTGTAATTACTTAGAGAAGCATTTAAAAATCTTTGCCACAAAAACAGACATGAAGACCAGTGGAACAGAATAGAGGATCCAGATATGAAGCCACACAACTATGAGCAACTTATCTTTGACAAAGGAGCTAAAAATATACGATGGAGAAATAGCAGCCTCTTCAACAAAAACTGCTGGGAAAACTGGTTAGCAGTCTGCAAAAAACTGAAACTAGATCCATGTATATCACCCTATACAAGATTAACTCAAAATGGATCAAGGATCTTAATATCAGACCCCAAACTCTTAAAGTTGATACAAAAAGAGTAGGAAATACTCTGGAGTTAGTAGGTATAGGTAAGAACTTTCTCAATGAAACCCCAGCAGCACAGCAACTAAGAGATAGCATAGATAAATGGGACCTCATAAACTAAAAAGCTTCTGTTCATCAAAAGAAATGGTCTCTAAACTGAAGAGAACACCCACAGAGTGGGAGAAAATATTTGCCAATTATACATCAGACAAAGGACTGATAACCAGAATATAGGGAACTTAAAAAAACTAAATTCTCCCAAAACTAATGAACCAATAAAGAAATGGGCATGTGAACTAAACAGAACTTTCTCAAAAGAAGAAATTCAAATGGCCAGAAAACACATGAAAAAATGCTCACCATCTCTAGCAATAAAGGAAATGCAAATTAAAACACACTAAGATTCCACCTCACCCTGTTAGAATAGCCATCATCAGCAACACCACCAACAACAGGTGTTGGCGAGGATGCGGGGAAAAAGGAACCCTCTTACACTGTTGGTGGGAATGTAGACTAGTACAACCACTCTGGAAAAAAATTTGGAGGCTACTTAAAAAGCTGGACATCGATCTACCATTTGATCCAGCAATACCACTCTTGGGGATATACCCAAAAGACTGTTACTCCAGAGGCACCTGCACATCCATGTTTATTGCGGCACTATTCACAATAGCCAAGTTATGGAAACAGCCAAGATGCCCCACACTGACGAATGGATTAAGAAAATGTGGTATCTATACACAATGGAATTTTATGCAGCCATGAAGAAGAACGAAATGTTATCATTCGCTGGTAAATGGATGGAATTGGAGAACATCATTCTGAGTGAGGTTAGCCTGGCCAAAAGACCAAAAATCGTATGTTCTCCCTCATATGTGGACATTAGATCAAGGGCAAACACAACAAGGGGATTGGACTATGAGCACATGATAAAAGCGAGAGCACACAAGGGAGGGGTGAGGATAGGTAAGACACCTAAAAAACTATAGCTAGCATTTGTTGCCCTTAAGCAGAGAAACTAAAGCAGATACCTTAAAGCAACTGAGGCCAATAGGAAAAGGGGACAGGAACTAGAGAAAAGGTTAGATCAAAAAGAATTAACCTAGAAGGTAACACCCACGCACAGGAAATCAATGTGAGTCAATGCCCTGTATAGCTATCTTTATCTCAACCAGCAAAACCCCTTGTTCCTTCCTATTATTGCTTATACTCTCTCTACAACAAAATTAGAGATAAGGGCAAAATAGTTTCTGCTGGGTAGTGAGGGGGGGAGCGGGTGGTAAGGGAGGGGGTGGGGGCAGGGGGGAGAAATAAACCAAGCCTTGTATGCACATATGAATAATAAAAGAAAAATGAAAAAAAAAAAATCTTTGCCAGAGAATTCTAGTATCTGTGTCATCTCAGTACTTCTGTTTATTTTTCTCGCTCAAGTTAAATTATCCTGGTTCTTGACCTGATGCAGGATTTACTATTGTGCCCCAGACATTTTGAATATTGTGCATGAGGCTCAGTATCTTATTTAATCTTCTGTTTTAGCATGACTTTTCTGGTAGTGTACTTGCTGGGGAATGAGGAACCCAGTCTCACTACTGCTAGGTAGGGATGAAGGTCCAGGCTCCCCCTTGGCCTCCTTTGACACCAGCTGAGACAAGTGTCATGTTACAGCTGGGTGAAGATGGGATTTAGGGCAAGGCTTCCATGGACATAGCTGCAGAAGATCAGGGAGTGATGGGTAGGTAGAAAGAAGAGTGGTAGTGAAAGTTTTGGCTTCCCATTCAGCACTTATGACACCACCCCTGGCAAGGAACAGGGAAGGGCATCTGTTTAGTGCTGGGTCTGTGTGGAAGCCCAAGATTCTCACATAGCTTTCCTGACATTTTTGGTGGAAGGAGGCTTATCTTTCTTAGGTGGGGACAAAAGTCCCAGTTTTATTCTTGGTCTCTCCTGATATCATCATTCTGGCAGGAGTGGAAAGGGTGCTTTGTAACAGATGGGCAAGGGTGAGAATCTGTTCTCCCCTACTTAGCCTTTGCTGGTAGATGCTGGGGTAGGGTTGTATTTTTTTCTCATGGTGTTTGATTAGAGTTGGGTAGGTATTGTCTAAGTTTTCTGTCTTGCTGGATTTCCCCTTTCCTATTTCTTTGGCTAGAGAGAATGGGTTGTGTTTGATTCTGTGTACTCCTATCAGCATTTCTGTTGTGTTCTCTTCTTTAGCTTGAAGTCTAGAAAATGATGCAGAAATTCACCACTATTTCATTCCTTAGGGCCTGAGGTCACTAAAGGCTCTGCCTTTGCCTCCTCCTCATTTTTTTCTTTTCCAGTAGTGATATAGATCAAGTCAGGGCATTGTGCATGCTAGGCAAGCACTCTACTACTGAGCTCCCCCCAGAGCCCCTGCCTTCTTTTCTCTATTTTTCAGTCTTCTTAGGCCTGTGTTATTATAATGTATCAGCGTACTCAGTGGGAGGGATAGTCTTGCTCTTTGAAGACTTGACTGAATGATCTCTCCCTGTGATAGCTAAATGGAAAACAATGTACTACTTACCTGTAAGTGGGTAAGTTGCTGAACCTTCCTTCTTTACCCTAGTGCATACAAGAGTAAACATGATATAAACTGGTCGAATACGAGTGTATGATGGACTTTGCTGGGAATTTGGGATATGCACCCTTCTCTTTGCCACTGGGTTTTGTGATGTGTGAACATGAGGTTTGAACTACTGTTTTTTGGGGATTAGAATTTGGAATTTTTGGTTTGGAATTAATTGTATGGAGGCTGAAAATGTATGGAACTCAGAAAACTAAAGGAATGAGTATTTCCAGCTCTGGATTAAGCCAGTACTAAAGCTACATACTTTATACTGTTGAATTCATGAGCCACTACTATAATCACCTTTTTGCACAAACTGGTTTGGGCATTTATTATTATTATTTTTGCAGTACTGAGGATTGAACCCAGGGCCTTGTGCATGCTAGACAAGTACTCTGCCACTGAGTTACATCCCCAGCCCTTGTTTTTTTGAGAAACGGTCTTACCAAGTAGCCCAGGCTGGCCTCAAAGTCAGGATCCTCCTGCTTCAACTTCATGAGTGCTAGGATTATAAGTATGTGCCTCCACATATGACTGGGGAAGGTTTTTATAATGCTTACAATGGAAGAATTTAATACTTGCATACCTTTGATGCAGAGATTCTACCTTGAGGTTTGATTCTACAAAAATACCAGTACAGGTTTACAAAGGTATTTATGGGAGGGGGGGTAAGGATGTAATTTAGAGGTAGAGCATTTGCCTAGCATGCACAAGGCCCTGAGTTTCACACACGCACACACACACATATATACACACACACATACACACACACACATGTAAGGATGTTTGTTGGATTGTTGTAACACCTAAAAGCAGCAAACTAAATACTCATCAGTGGGTTCTTTGGAAATCAATATGACCATTAAAAGAATTCTGCACATGTATGCTGACACAAATGGCTTTCTAAAGCATATTGTTACATGAAAAAAGCAAGTTGTCAGGACAATACATTCATTTATGTTAAAAACTTACAAATAAACCATGAAAAATAATTTTAAACAATCTGGAAGACTCCAGAACAAAGTATAACCATGCTCCCTTTTGGAAGGGAGTTGAGATTGGCTGAGTACAGTGGAAGATTTTGACCTTTTATTTTATAATGTTGGCATCTTTTAAGACCTGAGACTATGTTTGTGTGTTATTTTATGAGTGAAATGAGAAAGCATTAAAAACTGTGTACATTCATGATTTGCCTTACTTATAAATTAGAATCCTTTGGAGTAAGAGTCAAAGGAAACCAAAATTTCTGACAGGAATTCAGACCCTTCTTATCAACTCAAAATTCATATACTCTAATATTTTTCACCAATTTTTGGTCATACAACTCTAGTGTATCCTTAGTGCTTTTTTAGTGTGTAAATCCTAATTACCTTCTTAGTACTTCTGCTACTCACTGTTTCTCCTAGCCTGATCTCTCCTGAGGCAGACGACGCTAGCTTTCCTTTATCCTTTGAGTGTGCTGTAAGTGTTTGCCTAGTGTAATTGTGACTGTTTCCAGTTCCTCAATCTGCACATCACGTCCTCCACTGCATGATCATTTTTTTCTTTAATACTCAAAAATGGAATCTGGTTTTTTTTGAGACAGGGTTTCACTAGGTAGTCCATTTTGTGTCCTCCTGCCTCAGCTGCCTGAATCTAGGATTGCAGGTGTGTGCCATCATGCCTGGCCTCTACTGATATTTTGAATATCCAACAGCAAAGAAAAAAAGATTAAATAATGTTAGAAATCTTCTTTGCCGATTCTCTAAATATGAGACGCACTTGCAAAAATCTCTTAGGACTTAACTAATGGTGGTCAGTTGTGTAACTTGATTAAAACTTAATTCACTTTAATAATTATAACATTGACATTCAAGTGTATATTGTGTGTGGCATACATTATACTAACTGCTTCATATATAACCTCTCTCTTGGTATTCCTACTAGCCCCTGAGATAGGTCTGAGTCCCATGTTATTAATGGAGAATGGGAAAGCTGAATAATTTGTCCAAAATCACACAGCAAATGGTAGAGTCATGATTTGAATATAAATCTAATTTGGCTCCAAAGTCTTCATTACTTAATTACTGTGTTTGGTGGTCTGATAGCTAAGGCCTAACATAACGAAACTTTCTTTCCTTAAAAAAAAAAACACAAAATGTCCCAACATGATTGAAGTAGTTCATTTAGGGTTCTTTGGTAAAAACTTTTGCCACAATAATAATACAGAGCTCAATGGGAGTTTATCTTCATACCCTTGTTATTTGACATAAAACTCCAAATTAAATATTTTTTGTTTTAACAGCATCTGTATACCTTTGAAAAAGACTTGCAAGTCATCAGCTGTTCTGTCAACAGTGAGAGAACTTTGCTTGGTAAGATAAACTCTTTCATCACTGCTTGTGAAGAACTTACATACATTTTTTAAGAGTTTCAATGTATTGGATTTTGTGATATTTGATTGTTTTATAGCAATGATTTTCTGGGAAAGAATTTGTTTGGAAATTAGGCTTGAAATTAAGAATCAGTAGGATATACCAACGAAAAATAATCCTTCATATTCTACCTAAATATTCCACTGGCACATCCTTTGAACTCTCATTTATTTCTGGTATAAAATCCTAATAAGTCATTCCATGGATCAATTGTATAATGGATTTTTTTCTTTTTCCATTAGCTGCAAGTTTAGTTCAATCTACTAAAGAAGGAAGAAAGAATGAGCTTCAACCAGGTAATCAAATTATACTTGCTCGTAGATAAGTTTGGTAGATGAAGATTTATTGGGCTAAGTCAAATTTTAAGCATCTTTCAAAATAGTTTTCTCTTAGAATAAGAAGGCAGTGGTTATTTAAGCATGAACAAGACTTTTAAAAAATTTGTTTTTCCAGAAAACAAGAAGGGACAGAAACTAATATAATAGTGAATAACAGAAGTATTAAAATGATAATTAGCACCTGAATATTAAACAATTGCTGAGAATACACTAGAACCCTATGGCCACAAGCTGGTATAAAAGGAAAAGTCAAATACCATTTGAAAAATATCTGGCTAAGTATTAATACTTAGTACATCGTGAATAGTCCACCAATGCAAAATAAAAATCAATTTTACTCATTTTCCAAAGCCCACTTTGTAGTTTATTAGCCATGTGATACCTCTCACCTTTTAAATTATTTTAAACATTCTATGTCATCCATCACTCAATAGTCCAAAACTCAATACTATTGAGTATGTGCATGTTTTGTATTGAGGCATTCTGCATGGTCCTGGGGATGTCATGCCTGTAAGGGAGGCATGGTGACCAGCTGTAATCTTTAGGTTTCAATAGCAAATGTATTACTATGGCCAGAGAGACCACATAAAGGGGTGAAGTAGATGGAGTATAAGAAAAATGAAATGTCTTTGTTGTTTCCATTTTTAGCACAGAAACCAAGAATTAGTCTCCTTTTTTTTTATTATTCATATGTCCATACAATGCTTGGGTCATTTCTCCCCCCTGCCCCCCTATTCCCTTACCATCTACCCCACCCCCTCCCTCTCCCCACTACCCCCTCGATACCCAGCAGAAACTATTTTGCCCTTATCTCTAATTTTGTTGAAGAGAGAATATAAGCAATAATAGGAAGGAACAAGGGTTTTTGCTAGTTGAGATAAGGATAGCTATACAGGGAGTTGACTCACATTAATTTCCTGTACGTGTGTTACCTTCTAGGTTAATTCTTTTTGATCTAACCTTTTCTCTAGTTCCTGGTCCCTTCTCCTATTGGCCTCAGTTGCTTTTAAGGTATCTGCTTTAGTTTTTCTACGTTGAGGGCAACAAATGCTAGCTAATGTTTTAGGTGTCATACCTATCCTCATATCTCCCTTGTGTGCTCTCGCTTTTATCTTTGTGATCAAAGTTCAATCCCCTTGTTGTGTTTGCCCTTGATCTAATGTCCACATATGAGGAAGAACATATGATTTTTGGTCTTTTGGGCCAGGCTAACCTCACTCAGAATGATGTTCTCCAATTCCATCCATTTACCAGCGAATGTTAACATTTTGTTCTTCTTCATGGCTGCATAACATTCCATTGTGTATAGATACCACATTTTCTTAATCCATTCGTCAGTGGTGAGGCATCTTGGCTGTTTCCATAACTTGGCTATTGTGAATAGTGCCGCAATAAACATGGGTGTGCAGGTGCCTCTGGAGTAACCTGTGTCACAGTCTTTTGGGTATATCCCCAAGAGTGGTATTGCTGGATCAAATGGTAAATCAATGTTTAGCTTTTTAAGTAGCCTCCAAATTTTTTTCCAGAGTGGTTGTACTAGTTTACATTCCCACCAACAGTGTAAGAGGGTTCCTTTTTCCCCGCATCCTCGCCAACACCTGTTGTTAGTGGTGTTGATAATGATGGCTATTCTAACAGGAGTGAGGTGGAATCTTAGTGTGGTTTTAATTTGCATTTCCTTTATTGCTAGAGATGGTGAGCATTTTTTCATGTGTTTTTTGGCCATTTGAATTTCTTCTTTTGAGAAAGTTCTGTTTAGTTCACTTGCCCATTTCTTTATTGGTTCACTAGTTTTGGGAGAATTTAGTTTTTTAAGTTTCCTATATATTCTGGTTATCAGTTTTATTGTTATTGCTTTGTAATATAGTTTGAAGTCAGGTATTGTGATACCTCCTGCATTGTTCTTTTGACTGAGTATTGCCTTGGCTATTCGTGGCCTCTTGTGTTTCCATATAAATTTAACAGTAGATTTTTCAATCTCTTTAATGAATGTCATTGGTATTTTGATGGGAATTGCATTAAACATGTAGATATACTTTTGGGAGTATAGAAGAAATATTCTCTTTAATGAGAAAGTGTTCAAGTGCTGTAGAGACTACCAGTAGGGAGGGGCACCCCAAGGGAGGCTTCAAAGGGGAAACTACTGCTTAGCGCTAGCTTTTTATTGTTGTGTGGAAGAATAACTCCAGTGGGGCCAGATTTCAATTTATTCTAAGAAGTCTTGGTTTTAATGTGGAAGTCCAATTGTAAACATTGACTCTAATATTTATTTAAAAACCTGCTCTGGCAATGATGACCACCTGTGGGCTGGAGCCAGCCTGTGGACAACCATTTTTCAACCTTTGGTCTACTGCATCTCCTACCAATCTCTTTTTGTTCTGACCCAAGTGCTTTCCATCCAGCCTATTTATTTGGCACTTCAATTCCTTTCTTTGTTAGCATAGTTTCCATTTAGATCTGTGCTTGCGTGTGATGGAAAAACCCTTTATAAATACTTTCCACAAGAGGCTTATGTAGAAGTCTTGGGCTTCTCAGAAAACTCGTTTCCTCCCACAACCAGCTTAGAGAGGCAGGGGAATCAGAGCAGAGTCTGGATGGGACCTTCTTAGGGGCCTCAGCTCCTCTTTCTTAGGAGAGATGGTGGTAGGCCTGAGGATTCCCCTGAAATCTCATTTGTTCTTCACGCATGCCTTCCCCTGCCATGATATGCTGAGAACCATGACAGCCTCTTCCCTCTTCTGTGCTGTGGCTGCCTCCTCCCAGCTCTCTTAGCACTCTTTGCTTCTCTTAGAATTAGGTGCCATACTCACTTAGAGGTGATGGACCTGGACTAGCTCAAGCAAAATATGATCTAGAACATTGGTGTCTGACCCATAAAACAAGGCCATGGATAAAACCAGGACATGGCCCTGATTTCCTGGGCTGCTAAACCCCTTTGTCTGAGAAAGGACTGCTTACATTTCTTGAGATGAGCCTGGATTTGCTACCTGTGTCTCCCAGTTTTTCTTGTATCTCATTCCCCTTGGCCTTAGATTTTTTTTTATTATGCTGATAAACCCAGTACTAACTATAAGTTTTGCTTATGCAGAACTCCTCATTTTTAAGTATGTGTGTTACAAAGTGTACTTTCAGATTCAGACCAAATTTAAAGTTTTGATACAACACTAAATTCTATTCAGATATGCTTGCTCAGTCTTGGAAGCATGCACGTGTGGTGAGGTTATCTGCTCATATCTTTAAAAGCAATAGAATGAATGTTTTTCATTATCCGATTGGGTACCTTGTAGCTTTAGATCTTAGCTCATCTTTTATGGCAGCCACTGCAGTGAGAACCAGTTCTGCCCAGGTGTAATTTGACAGTACCTCACCTCGGCTGTTCTACCTACTTCTTACTTCCTGCCCAGAGCCTTTGGGAAAATCTGTTACCTATATGTGTACAGCCTGGAATTATGGCTGAAATCCTACACAAAAGGGCAACCAATGACCAGTGGGGATCACATTGCTGAAGGACAATTGTTCTCCCTTTCATTCCCAAAATGGGGAATTCTGAGGAGCCCTCCAAGTAGCTTAAGATCCAAGGTGGCCACTATTGATAATGCTCCGTTTACTGGTGTTCTGTCGCCCTGGTTCACTCTTCCCTAGCCCCACATGGCTACAGTGGTCCTGTCACCTGAGGAAGCTTTTTGTCTTAGTTTGGGTTTACTTGTTAGTAGAGTCTGTTAGTTTACTTGGGAGATGACCCTACGAAACATTGTTAGGAGGCTGTTTAAGTAGAGATTTGAAAGAAGGCAGAGGAAAGCATATTTCTGGCAGAGCTGACAGCAAGCATGAAGGCCTTGAAGCCTGGCTATACTTGGTACGTTCACTGTTGCAAGGATATACAGGAGGTCAGTCAACAAGGGATAGAGTGGAAGAAACTGAGGTCAGAGGGAAATGGAGGTGAGGTACAGTCTGGTCATGTAGTCACTGGAGGCCCTTGTAAGACTTGGCCTTCAGTTTGAGTAAAATGGGAATCAATGTGAATTTTGAGCAGGGGACTGACCTGACTAATTTTGCAAAAGGATCACTGTGGCTGCTGTGTGGAAAGTAGCTTGCAGCCAGGCAGGGAGAAAGCTGGGAGACTGATGGCAAAGCATTAAAATGATCCAGTGGCTTGCTCTGTGGGAATGGCACAAAGGATAAGAGGTTGTATCTGGATATATTTAGAAGATAGATTTGCCTGGATTAGATAGGAATGTGAGAAAAGTATCCCAGTAGAGACATGAGGTAGGAATTTGAATATAGGTCAGGTAAGAGGTTGGGACTGGAGATAAACCTTTGGTAGTGATCAATGACTAAGATGGGAAGATTTCATTTTATTCAGAACTATGTGACTAGAAAGTACTATAGGATGTACCATAATGCTTTGTTCTTTGAACAGATATTTTGGAAAGGTTTATTTTGTCTGTCCATGAATGTTCTTAGATATTATAAAAACAGATTATAAAAACAGTTTGCTTACAGGTGTTGCTTAATACTTTGTCACTTAAAGTGAGTTTATTTTATTGCAAAAGAGACAAACTAATATCTTTCAAATGAAATAGTTCTTTGGTCCACATACTTTACAATGCAGTTTTGATCAACAGTGCTTCTCTCTTTGGCTGTGGCTGTAGCAGGGTTGATGTTTTGTTTAGAAAATGGCCTTCCACAGGAAACTGGCCTATCCTCTTCAGCCTCTCCTGTTGAGTTGCATTTGCCACAAGGCACAGTAAATCCCCACTGGGCAGCAATTGGAGTGAACATGTGTTTGGGGGTCCCACTGCCAGTGAGGCAGAACCCAGTGCCCCGTGTACCATCAAGGCAGTTATATGATGCTCCACACAACTGTGGTTTCCTCAAGAGCTCCAGTAACCAGAGCTCCTCCAGAGCCAGGCTTTACCACACTCTCCCAACTTTTTCTTGAGATGAACCCTTACCTATGTCTTTTGCCCACTGTTCACCTGCCCATGTCAGGCTCAACTCTGTGCTCTGATCTTGTTGACTCTCTTCCCGCAATATCCGTATCTACCTGGTTCTGTCTTCCTTTTCAATGATGCCCTCACAGATGCCACTGAAATCTGGATTTTCTACATCCTTACTACAAAGTTAGCACCTCATGGAATTATGGGGGATTTTATGTTGGAATGTGATTGTAGAAATAATCTGGTTCTATAGTTTTCATTTTATATTTTTAATGACAAGGCTTTGAGGCCTAGGAAAACTGGATGATTTGCTGAAAAAATGTCACATTAGTGGCAGAGCTGAGACCAGAATGATTGTCTCCAGAATCTTAAGTTAGAGCGACTTCTGCTTTGCTGTGAAAGCACTGGTATGTTATTGAGAGAAGCTCCTGTTTGCAAAAGTCACTATTAACCACTATGCTAGTTACATTAGGTGAATGCCTGGGATGTACTGAAAAAGGGAAAATTAGTGGAGGAAGATGGCTTCTGTTTTTGAAGGTAAGGGAATTTAGCCAATAGCTAGTTATCTTATTTGAGTATAAATTCATGCCAAATAAGACCAAATGTAAATAAGCAGATTCCTTCTTTTTCCAGTGTAAGAGTTTTCCCGGTTTCTCCCACCTCCCAACCCCAAAGCTGTGGATTTTTTCCAACTGGGCTATATGAACTTTTAGGGCAAGAGATAATTGAATGCCAGTTTGTACTATTTAATGTATTAATTTAGTTATACACATTTAAAATAGCATATCAATAAGGAAATTGCTTTTCTTTCTCATTCTTACCTTTCAGAGAACATTTCTATTTTAGTCTTCTTCACGAGCATCTTTGACATGTGTCTTCCATGGAGCCAGTTTTTGAGTCACAAAGCAGACTTCAAAATCACTCACCTTTGCCCCCATCCCAGTTATTGGGAATATAGCCCTTTGGAATTGACGTACGATCATCCTGGCACTAGTACTCATAAGTACTCACTTTCCAGACATATGATTTTCATTCTACAGTTGTATATTTGTGATTCCACACAATAACTCACGTGCTGTCTTGTTTTTTAAGTGCTCTTTAAAAGATATGTTGATAAAGCCTGGGGTGATGGCTCTTGACCCTGGTTCCATACCAGGAGGTGGAGGTCGGAGGATCATGGTGGGAGGATAGCTCGGGCAAAAGCGGATCTTATCTGAAAAAAACAAAATAAAAGCAAAAGGGCTGGGAGTGTGGCTCAAGTGGTAGAGAGCTTGCCTAGCAAGCTTTTTAACTCTGCGTTAGATCCCCAGTACTGCCAAAAAGAAAAAAAAGTTAATAGAAATATCCAGTCTTCGTAATTGTTAGGCTGTATTCTAGAAACCGTTTTATGTTCTTTGCTGTATTTTTAAGAAAGAGCAGTATTGTCAGGTTACTTTCTTAAATACTGATGGCTGCTGTGCCATCCCCAAATTGTTCTATTAGAGTCTTAAGAAATTAGATATAAGGCAACACTTTCTTTTCCAGGGTTTAATCCTCGGGGAGGGGAACCTTTGACCTAAACTTGGATTCTGTGGTGACCCACTTCTAGCTCATGCCCACAGGCTTTCTCTTAACTACTGATTTTTATGCCACTTGCTCAGTTGTGACTCTGAGGACCTAAACGGGTCATTGTCAGTGCTGCTGTACCACTGCTCTGAGGGAAACTCAGCTGCTGTCCTAGTGATAGCTCATGTCTGTCAGCTATATGTTCACGCATCAGGAAAGTCTTTATATTTCATACACAAACACTATTTGCCATTGCGCTGCAGAAGAGTGACACTGAGTTGAGTTCTATTTATTGGACTTAGAGGCCTGTGAAGCTGTGCTAAAAATGACTGGTGGAGTTCCTTACTCCACCCACACGAATTTTTGCCTTGTGATGTTTTCTATCTTTGGATGTGTGTGGGTGTTGTGTGGTGTGTGTGGTGTGTGTGTGTGTGTGTGTTGTGTGTGTCTGAAGTGTTTGGGGTCAAACCTAGGGCCTCAAACATGCTAGTCAAATATTCTACCACTGAGCCACATCCAAAGCCCCTACTTTGCTTTTAAGACATGTCAAAGTAAACTTTAAGAAAACTACTTTTCTTTAAGAAATAGCTAATATAATAGGACACACATTTTCAAAGTTGAGACACACTTATTGGCAAATCTTAGAATCAAGATAGTTTAGGAGGGAAGTGGTACCCAATGGAGTTCAGTTTGTCAGGCCCTCTCAGGTACTGCTGGAGTGCGAAGTGAGTCATAGAATCTATCTCAGAAACTACTTATATTTTAAATGTGATGCTTTCCTCCCCCAGTGTCTGCCATATTCAGAACTGCTCCAAACTTCCCTTTGACACTGGTATTTTCTGAGTGTCCCATCGTTCTCATCATAAAATAGTTTCTTTTGGGGGTCTGAGGGCATGGAAGGCAGGTCTTTTTCAAGGCTGATTGCTCTTTTGGGGTCTGGGAGTCACCACATTTCCCTGAAGAGTGGAACTAGTGCTAGAACCATAGTTTATGTCAACTCAAGGTACTTTAGATGATGGTAGAATTATGTTGTTAGTTTGTAATTGTGTGATAGGACATTCCAGGAATTCCTCTTCCTATTTGCTTTGGAAAAGATGGCCTATTATAGTCTAACCTTTCTTACTAAAAACCTCCTTTTCTCTGCAGGATCCAAATGCTTAACTTTGCTGGTAGAAATCCACCCTGTAAACAATGTGAGGGTTCTCAAAGCAGTGGATAGCTCTATTTGGGTACAGGTAAGTAAGTTTGTCATTTGTCTCTGTTCTCATGAGTCAGACGGCACGAAACCTAGGGGACAAGATGTTTACCAGGTGCTTTCCCACACACTGTCACATTTAGTCCTCCGAGCAGTCTTGTGCCAGGGAGGGCTGAGAGCACAGCTCTTCCTTTGCAAATGTGGTTATTAGGAATTCAGACCTGGCTTCTCTGATTCTGCTACACCAGGGCTCGTCTGATAGTAAGGCAACGTTTTTACATGTTAGAATAGCAAACACTAAAACACATTTTTAGCAAGCTTTAAAGTAGTTTATTTCATGTACTCACATGGTTGACAGATTATCTATGACTGAATGATTTAATAAATTCCTGAATCGATGCAGAAGCAATGGACTAATTGTTCTCCTTCTCCTCCTTCTCTTCCCTTCCCTTCTTCTCTCCCCCTTTACCTTCTCCTCCTTCTTTCTCTTTTCTTCCTTCACTCTCTTCCTCCTTCCTCCTTCCCCTCCTTCTTTTGAGACAGGGTCTTATATGTAGCCAAGGCAGTCCTCAAACTCACAATTCTCCTGCCTGTACTTCCCAAGTGCTGTCGTTACAGGTGTGCACTACATACACAGCCTTAGTCAATCTTCTTTATTCACAGATTCCATGTTTCCAATTCTCCTACTTGCTAAAGTTTATCTGTAACTCAAAATTAATGCTCGTGGCACTTTGCCAGTCATTTGTAGGCAAGTGCTGAGTGGCAAAAAAGGAAAAAAAAAAAATCAGGTCACCTGGCTTGCACATTCCCAGCTGAGGTTGAACCAGGCAGTGGTCTGTCTTGTTGTTACAACTCTCAGTCTAGGCAAGTGCTGTAGACAAGTGTCACTGTCCAGTGTTGTGTTTTTGAATTTTTGTGCTTTTTGTTAGCAATTTTACTTGGCCTTTCAGTGTCATGCTGAAGTACTGTTTACTGTTCTTAGAGCAAGAAGGCTATGATGTGCCTTACAGAGCAAATATGTGTTGTTTAATCTTCATTCGGGCATGAATTGTAATGCTGTGGACCGTGAACTCAATGTTAATGAATCAACAATAGATATGACATAAGGTTCTTTAAACAGAAACACACATAAGGCCAGGTTATGTATTCATCTGTTGACAAACATTATGAACAGAAACTCATAGTAATTTAGTCTTGGATTAGCCCTAGGAGCAGTTTAGTGTTCAATTACAGAACATAACTACCACAATAATCGGAATCAACTTTATGTGTAATTACTTGTGTCTAAGTTCACATTCTGTTACAGGGCCAAAACATTCTTTTTGGTCTATCTGGGGTCAACTGATCTCACTGGAAGTATCTGTCTCTTCCTCCACCCTTGGCCTGCAGCGAGTGGTGCTCTGTTTTCCAGCGTGCGTAAGGAGAGGTCTTGGCTCTCCTCTGCCTGGGTCCTCCACTGCCAGTCAGTCCTCTGGCTATGTATTTTGACTACTGCTCTTGTGGCTTCCTGGCAGGGCCCAGCTGGGGCTCCCATGCTGTGTGTCCTCCCTAGGAAGCCCCTCTGTCTGCCCTGTCACCAGTGCTGCCCACACTTCCCTTTTCTGGCTTGTTTTTGGGTTTCACCTTCATCACTCTCTACCAGGCAGTTGATAGAGACAGTATTGAGGGTGTGGGGGAGCTAATGAGAATTGTAGCATAGGAAAAGTTTTTATAAGGATATGGTTATACAACATTGTGAGTAGATTAAAGCTACTGGAAAATGTGTACTTTAAAGTAGTAAAATGGTGAATTTTATACGATATTTTTTTTCCTTTTGTCATAGAATTGTATTTTATTTATTTATTTATTTTCACAATACTAATCTTACCAAATGAATTGGAAAGTGTTCCCTCCTCTTCTGTTTCTTGCAATAGTTTGTGAAGAATTGGTATTAATTCTTTCTTTCTTTATTTTTTTTCATTTTTCTTTTATTATTCATATGTGCATACAAGGCTTGGGTCATTTCTCCTCCCCCCTGCCCCCACCCCCTCCCTTACCACCCACTCTGCCCCCTCCCTCTCCCCCCCCCAATACCCAGCAGAAACTATTTTGCCCTTATTTCTAATTTTGTTGTAGAGAGAGTATAAGCAATAATAGGAAGGAACAAGGGGTTTTGCTGGTTGAGATAAGGATAGCTATACAGGGCATTGACTCACATTAATTTCCTGTGTGTGGGTGTTACCTTCTAGGTTAATTCTTTTTGATCTAACATTCTATACGATATGAATGTTATCTCAATTAAAAAAATTAAAAGTACATAACACATGACAGCATCTATAGGCCAAAGAGAAAAAAATTAACTGTGTTGGTCAGACTATTATTCATCACTGTGACAAAGTCCCTGACTTAAAAAGCTGAAAGGAAGAGCCAGGCACCAATGACTCACTCCTGTAATCCTAGTTACTTAGGAGGTTGAGATTGGGAGGATTGTGGTTCAAGCCCAGCCCAGGCAAAAACTTCCCAAGATCCCATCTCAACCAGTTGCTGGGCATAGTGGCACCCATCATCTCAAGGTGCCCTATCTTAGCTGGTTCTGCCTCCTGCTCTTTGCATCTGTGCCTCTAGACAGAGAAACTCCTTCAAGCCTCTGTCCATGGCAAACCTTCCCCTTCTCCCCCTCTCTCTCCCTGTCCAGAGAAACACCATCCCACAGTCCATCGAGTCTGTCTTGCACTGGGCCCTGCCTCCACAGCATTCCTGGGAATCTCCAGGATGCATTTCCACAGGTGCACACACAGCCCTGGTCACCTTCGCAGAGGATTCAGCACAGTGGCGGGTGCTACCTGGGTCCCCATCTGGTACTGTTTGAGAGTTCCCCACTGGCATGGCACTCGTCTTCCAGCTAGTTCCAGGGGCAAACATGCACCCCTCTATACCTACACAACATGCTCCCCAAGACAGATATTAATTCTCAGCCTAGCTCTGTATTTGTGACACAACTCTCCCCAAACATGTATATCATCTGTATACACCATTAAAAATGCACCCCCACTCTCCGCATGCTTTTGTAGGGCTGTATTTGAAGCGGTGGCTTCATAATAGAAAGAGTGGCAACTGCCTCCATGGGTCTTTTAAAATCACGCTCTTGCTGATTGTGCAAAGGCCAGGCCAAGGCTCTGAGTGGTCAGTCATGGCTGTCCAGCACCTTGTGTTCCAAAGCAGGCCACCACTGCCCCAGCCACCTGTGCAGGCCCCAGGTCATGCGGTGTCTGTGGGATGAGACCCTCGCTTTGCTCCACCCTTACCTGCATGGTGCTCCTCACCTGCGCCTTTTCCTCCACCCTCTATGCAGGTGTGCTGTTTGTGCACAAATTCACAAATCAGGAATAATTAGTTTTGTATTATTTTTGCATCCAAATTCTATAATGTGGTCTATTTTTCAAAGTTAAGGTTATTGCTATGAGGAATGGTATATAGCTAATGTTTTTGGTTTGTTTTCTTTTTTTTGACAGTACTGGGTGGGATTTGAACTGAAGGCTTTGTGCCTGTGAGGCAGACAGTCTACTGTTTGAGTCATGCCTCCTGCCCATTTCTTTCTTTTTTTTGACAGTACTGGAGTTTGAACTCAGCCTTATGCTTGCTTATGCAGTTGCTCTACCACTTGGACCACACTCTCAAGCCCTTTTTTGCTTTAGTTTATTCTCAGATAGGGTCTTGTATTTGCCTGGGTCTGTCTGGATTGTGATCCTCCTACCTATGCCTCCCATGTAGCTGGGATTACAGATATTAACTACCATGGCTGGCTTATTTGTTGAGATGGGGCCTCACTAACTTCTTACTTGGGTTGGTCTCAAACCAACCTCCTGACCTCCTGACCTGAGTAGCTGGGATTACAGTAGTATGCTACCATGTCCAGCCTTGTGTCAACGTTTCGCTTTTCAATTCTAAAAGGGAAATTTAGTTCTATCTCTGATTTATTATCATGAAAACTAGAATACTAGGTAATATAGTTTATCAAAGAATTGCTAGGTTTTAGTGAGGCCTATGACTATAAAATTGGTCATAAAAAGGTTATGTCCTTTTATAATGCTTTTAAGGTTTTTGGGGAAAAGAACAAAATTCATGGGTGGACCTTGTCTAGAAGATGTTGTACATGCCATAAAATGAGCCAGGGTGATTTACTGTCACCCTGTCAATGATGAAAGAACAAGTCGTTGAAGTCATCCCATGAGTGGCCTTCCTTCATGATAGGCTTCCAATCCCACCTGCCTGCTTTGTCCTGTGGGTGAACACACACAATGGAGGCCCCATAGAGGAGGGACGGGGTGGGTTAGGGTTTTCCTTTCCAGAAGAACTTACTCTGTCTTTGAGGCCGTGCACTGTCAACCACATGCCACACTGTGACTCACTGCTGTCTCCTGGAAAGTCCCTGTCGTATTGTGCTTTGTGTCTGATGTGGAACTTGGAGGGTTGTGGTGGCAAGTATGTTTACTAGGCTCTCAAATTAGATACTAGATTTAGTAGCACAACAAATCCACTGGCTTTTTTTCTGCGTGTGAATTTGAACACATATATTGGTGTGGTTCGCATTGCTTCTGATTGGCCTCAGAATCAAATATTCCAAGTTGGAAACAGCATCTTTACAGAGAGCTTTGACTAAATGAATGGTGGTAGGGCTGTGCCTGCGACCAACTCCCCTAGAAAACCTAGAAGTGATCCTCCTTCTGCTTGCTTTGACCTGATCTCTCTCTGTGTGTGTGTGTGATTCCTCTACAAGATTCTGTGGTTTCTCATCCTTTGTGTATGTTGTAGTACAGTGATCAAACACAACTTTTGAAGTATTTGTGCAAGCATGATAGTTATGGTTTTGATGAATTTCCTCTTTACAGTTCCTCTACCCACATGTTGAAAGCCATCCGCTTCCACAGAGCCACCTGTTACTGATTTCGGAAGAGAAATGTGAGTGCATCTTGAGATGATCTTTGTAGGCATGTGAATGGCACAAGGTCTCCTAATGAACCATGGGACATGACTGAATGTTCTAGATGTCTTTGACATTGCTGAGGGTCTGTTGACCTTTGATGTCTGGGCGAGACCTAAAATTCCCATGGAAGCTCTTTTCCTTTTCCCCCCAAGCATGATTCTCTCCAGCTCTGTTCAGTTTCCTTTCCTGGGAATGATGGGTTCTTGTGTACATGGATTTCCAACTTTCTCACATGGCAGAATGTTTGTAGAACAGTTGTGCAGATTGGTTATGCCTTCTCTAGTCCATCCTTCTTCAGGATGTCTGTCATAGTAGATAGCTATGGTATAAGGAGAGAGGCTTGGATGGAGGGAAGGGAAGGCTTTGGTAGCTAGAATTCCATGGCAGATCTTAAGGGCACATGTTAACTTGACCAAATCCAAATAGAGGCAAATCAGATTATGACATGATGTTTTCAAATTTGGGAAAGACAAAATTCACTGGTAGTACTTATATAGTAAACTGTCTTTCATGTTCTAAGATGAAACTGCTGGTTTGTGATTGGAAGATCTGGCTTCCAGGCCCTATGCTCTTAATCAATTTTCTGCCTTAATTTTTGTAACTTAGACAAGCAGAAGGTAAGTGTGAAGGAATAAATTGTTACTGATAATAAAGGACCATCTACAAATTGAGTTAAAGTATTTAGGGTTTTGTTCATATGAAATTGGCCTCTACCAATAGGAAAAGGGGACCAGGAACTAGAGAAAAGGCTAGATCAAAAAGAATTAACCTAGAAGGTAACACCCATGCACAGGAAATCAATGTGAGTCAATGCCCTGTATAGCTATCCTTATCTCAACCAGCAAAATCCCTTGTTCCTTCCTATTATTGCTTATACTCTCTCTACAACAAAATTAGAGATAAGGGCAAAATAGTTTCTGCTGGGTATTGGGGGGGGGGAGAGGGAGGGGGTGAAGTGGGTGGTAAGGGAGGGGGTGGGGGCAGGGGGGAGAAATGACCCAAGCATTGTATGCACATATGAATAATAAAATATATATATATATATAAAGAAAAGAAATTGGCCTCTAAAAAATGTCTCTCCTAATTATCTTGTATAATGAGTTTCTATCTACATTCATACAAACACGTTTGGCACTAGGAAATTGAAGATAAACCCTACGTAAGACTGTTGTGGTACAGGGGAGGCAGCCACTTGCTGAGGGAAGGGGACAGGAAGGACCAAGAGCTTCACTCACTGTTGATATTAGTGAATGCGGGTCTTGAAGTAGACTGTAAGGGAAGGCGGGAGAAAGGGGTGTGTGTGTTCATGTTGTGAGATTATCATGTATGGTTGTATTTTGTAACCAGTTGTTTAATTTGTTTTGCAACTGTTAGGTAGAGAGTACTGATGTTTTTCCTGCAGGTTAAATTATCTGTGTCTCTCTCTGTTTTTCTTTAAGATATTGAACAATTTCATATCCAAATGACCCAAGAAGATGGAAATAGAGTGGTAAAGATTTGAAATTCCTTTTCCTTCAGAGTTTTCTTCTACAAAGAACTATATTTCTAGGCTGTTAAACATAGATTAATGCTATTGATAGATCACATTTTCTTTATTTGATGTCTCAAATGACAGGCTTGCTGTTGTAACATGTAAAACAAAGCAAAAGTCTGGGAAGCAGTCAGTTCTCCCCTTTCTCTCCACCTCACCCCCAATCTCAGTCTCCTGAGGTAATTAAGAGTGATAACCTGTAGGAGTCTCTCTATAGCTTTGCCTTGCTCATGGAAATCTGCTCAAGTTTAGATGCACATCTGGGGAATTAATTGTTTTTACCAAAATAAGATCATTATATGTATGTTTCCCTATTTTTGTGCTTGCTAAAACTTTAATATAATAAGACTCTATAACTTACTAAGCTGGGTGTGCTTGTACATGCTGGTAATCCCAGCATTCCTTATACGCCTTATGGCCGTGTCTCAGTGTTTCCTTAGCATCACAGTTCCTGTCTTTGGTGCGCAGCTTCTTATTTGCAGAGGCCTGACTGAGGGCATTCTGTTCACAGCAAGGTGTCATGAATCTTCTATTAATGCAGCTGTTGATTTGTGGTAGTGCTGTTGCCTTTGCCAGCCTCAGTCTGTCCATTAAACTGGGAAGAAGAATGAAATAGCATAGAGCATTTGGGAAGAAGAAGTGCCACCTAAAACTTTTCTGGGAAGACTGTGTGTTTTAGGTGTGGGGAAAGTGCTAATAATAAAATAGAAATATTTACACATATCATAGAAAATATGCAAGATAATAACGATTGCAGGCAAGTCCTTTTATCAATAGTTATGTGTAAAATCTTTTTGGCTGTTTAGGTAATTAAAAATTCTGGTCATTTGCCAAGAGACAGAATCGCTGAGGATTTTGTTTGGGCTCAGTGGGATGCGTCAGAACAGAGATTATACTACATCGACCTGAAGGTAAAAACTAGTCCATGGCTAATCCTCTATAACTTATTAATCACTATACTTTCATTAATGGGAGCAGCCAATGAAGTCTTATTAAAAATAATGAAAACACTTTTACCACTGCTTCAGGACTGCTTCCTTGTCTCTCCCTCCCCTTCTCTTTTCGTAGTGTCTTTGATCGATTATTTTGGAGGTGATATTGTTGCATGTGTTCTCTTTTAGAAATCAAAGAGTGTCTTCAAATGCATCCAGTTTTATGCTGATGAGAGCTTTAACTTAATGGTAAGCACAGAGAATGCTTCAGGGAGTTTTAGAACATGTTTGAGAGAGTTGCTATCATAAAGCACATTTTAGCATTTTTGATGGCGTGTAGGTCACTTACATAAACGAGTAAATGGTTCCTGCAGCCTCCAGGCTGCAGGTGTGTAACAAATGCACAGTTAACGTGAGCCATCAGGAAATCCTCACAACTGAAGGTGCTAAGAGTGGGGCTTAGCAGAAGGTAATAGATGATAGTAGATAGCTGTAAGTGGCTGAAAGTTATTTGACCCAAAAGAACTTGGAATGTGGTGGACTTGAGGGTAAAGGAAAAAGCCAGTAAGAGTTTAATTAGAAAAACCTAGCATTTCTTCTGGAAAAGCTATTGGAAGTCACAGAAGTCTTTTCTTGTGATGACAGTACTTCCTTCTTCCTCTGACCAGGACTATTGGCATCTAGCATAGTTTGTTTTCATTCCATTACAAGACTTTCATTGACCCCTTCTGCCTTTTTTATTTTGGGGGGGTCACTCACCCTTTCTAATGACATGTACATGCCCATTCCTTACATGGTCATCTGTGTCTTGTAAAAGTTGGGGTTTCCAGTTATCTTATGATAAAACCTGTTTATGACACTCAAATTTAAGGCAAAGTTTGCCAAGAATTAGCCCTTCATGAAATAAGCATACACCAAACTTGTGATTGCATGCAAACTCCAGAACGCTCCTGAGGACGTTCTGTGCCGAGGGTGGTGGAGCCTCTGAGAGGTGGTTAAGTGGGTCCTTCATCGGTAGGCAAGTACAGCACTGTCGGGCTCGCCCTCCCTTTCAGAACTGTGGTCACTTAATCAATGACGTTTTTTAGTTCATTTCCTCCTGATTTTTTTGACAGCTTGAAGCACCCTTGGACATCTCATTAAGTGACTCAGGATTTCAGTAAGTTATTCATAGATTGTCATTACTTTTTAGAGACACTTGTTGGTGAAATGATTATATTTATTCCTGATTCATGGTATGCAGATAAAAGGAAAATTTGATATTCTGTGTGTGTATCTCTTTTAATATTCTTGTTATCTAAAGGGAATATAAACAATTTTATCAGGCATGAATATGGGATTTTTCATGTAAAGTCAATCGTGTTGATTTTCTTAGCCCTTTATTTCTGTAGGGCACCTCCATTGATTCTGATGTATGGAGGTGTTCTTCTCCCTGCGATAAATAACAAGATTCTATGGGTCAGAGAGCTGCATTTAGAATCAAACATCAAACCCTCTCTTTCTTGCCAAACAAGAGGATGTCACAGGTCAGCCACTTGCAGCTCATCTGAGTCTATTGCTTGATTTTTTTTCTTTTTACACAAAAGGTAGTTTTTTTTTCTTTTTCCAGAGTACTTTCCCCTCACTCCTCCACTATAATTTTATACATATTCCGCACAAAAGACAGTTTTGAAAGAAGTAAACACAAGGCCATCAAAACACAGAAGAAACTAAGGTCTTCCTGAATTACAGTAATAATGATACTAAATGATTATATATTTCTCTAGCTTTATTTAATCATATATGAATATTTAGTTGTACCTGTTTTGAAACATACTTCAAAGGATATTTACTGTAAATCACAAAAATTATAACATGTAAGTTATAAGTAATATATTTTTCCTCTATTGCCAGGCTCACATTTTTGTTCTATGTACCATGTGTTTTTTTAAACAAATACCGTTTTATACAGAATTTCCTATCCAAAAAGAGTCATCTATTTAAATTTATTAGGGATGCATCTCCACTTTTGTGGGCCTGTTATAATGGCTAGACCATTTATGAGGGACTGTATTTTTTAAGAGCATTCAACAATTTATTTTCCTTTATGTTCTTAGTCTTGTCAACTTTGGATGTGATTATTGTCAAGACCAAGAGAAATTATCTGAACACCCAACTCTGTGTGTTTTCACCAACCATACAGGTAGGGCCCATGTTTATTTCTCACTTTATACTTGAGTTCTATCCAAAATTTAGTTATTGTTTAGCTATCTGGATCCTGAAAATGAAACATAATGCAGTCACCTTGTACATAAGTAGTATATGGATTGTACCTGTGAAAATTACCTTCTTCATTATAATTGTACTTGTTTTATTTTATCTTTTGGTGGTGGGGAGGGAATCTGGGGCATTTCACATGCTAAGCATGTGTTTTACCACTGAGAGACAGCCCTAACCCTCCGCTATACTTGTATATGTTTTCTGTCTACATGAAAGAAGCCACTGTCAGCAGGGTTGTTGTTCTCATAGCAGTTCTTCACATTGTTTGAATAGAGTGGAGGGATTTGTATTTAATCTATCCACATTTTCTCACCTGCTCCTGTGCACAAATGATGTGGGGAATTGGGACCTTACTGATGGGTTTGGATTCCAAAACCATGAACTTGGCTTTAAATGCCATGTTGTAGACTACACCTCTAACAATCAGAGCTTGACATATGAAGTTCTTGGTGTACACAACTGTTTGTAGTCGACAGAGAAAATGGAGAGAGAGGGGAATAAAGGGGACCTAAAAATGAGAGGAGAGAGATGTGATTCTGTGGAATGAATCTGGTGGAAAAAATGGATAATTTAGCCTTAATAATCATCTAAATAATGAACTCTTAAAAATGAAGGAGCCACTTTTAATATCTCAATTTGGATTAAAATTGTATTCCTCTTTAAATACATATAATTATGTCAATCAAAAATAAGAGTTAAGTGGGCAGAGTGGCTCAAGTGGTAGAGTGTCTGCCTGCCTAGCAATCTTGAGGCCCTGAGTTCACGCTCCAGTGCCACCAAAACAAAAACCTTAGCAAAAATAATAGTTAAAATAAATCATATTCCTTTAAAGTTAAATTATATGGTATTCACATGTTAAGCCAACATTTATTGAGTCCTTACTGTTTGCTAAGTTTGGGGACACACTGGTGATCAAGATTGACCCAGTCTTTATTGGTGTGCAGGTTACTATTTGGTGTGGATTTTAGATATTCCTCGGTACCACACACACAAAAAAAACCCCAAATAAATTGTAGACATCATAACACTTTACTACTAAACAATTTAGCATGTCTCCTTAGGTTCAGGACACTCTTCTATATAACCTCCATTCCATTACCATTGAAAGAAAATTATATTAATCAATAAAGTGTTTCATATTCGAATATCCATAATTGTTTAAAAAATCATATATGCTTGTGTGTATATATTATATATTTGTATGTGCATATGTTAGCATATATAAATTTTAAAATGTATGTCTATAATTTTTTTTTTAGTGGTACTAGGGTTTGGACTCAGGGCCTCACTCCTGCTAGGCAGGCACTCTACCACTTGAGCCATACCCCCAGCCCTTTTTAAATTTTAGTTATTTTTCAGATAGGGCCTCATATTTTTTGCCCAAGTCTTTTTGGACTGTGTTCCTCCTACTTGTACCTCCCACATAAGTTGGGATTACAAGTGTATACCATCATGCCTAGCTTATTGTTGAGATGGGGTCTTGCTAACATTTTACTTGACTGGTCTCAAACTACAATCCTCCTATCTCTACCTCCTGAATAGTGCCTCCAGAGATTATAGGCGCATGACCCTGAGCCTGGCCATATATACATAATTTTTAAAGTTAGGATCCAAACAAGATTACTGTATTATGTTTGGGTAAGTTTTTGTGATCTCTTTTAACATACAATAATCTCCACTTGGCCTTGCCCTCATCCCTTTTTCATGACTGTGATATTTTGAAGTGTCCTTTTACCTTAAGGAGTGTTCCACATGCTGGGTTTGTCTCATTGTTTCTGTGTGGAAGCCTTTAACTTTTCCCTTTTGCCTCCACATTTTCTATAAAATGAAAGTGAGATGTAGAAGAATAGTTTGATAGAGGTTAAGTTTTTTGGTGAGAATACTTCAGAGGGATGTTGTGAACTCCATGGGTATCAGATCAGATGGTATGTGATGTCAGGATGTTCCACTGTTAGAAGATGCTAAGTTTGGTCGATTTGGTTAGGTGGCAACCCCTGTGTGTCCCTTTTGCAAAGGTCCATTTTAGCCTCTGAATGAATAATTTTGGGGGGTGGTACTTTGGTACCATGTGACTATCCTACTCCCTGACAAGCTGTCACCTGATAGTTTCAGCATCCATTGATGTTTCTTCACTGAAGTGTTTTAAGCAGCCATTGGCCAGACTAGCTGTTCTCAAGAAACATTCACAGTAGCCAAGCTGTAGGTGCTCAGATGGGTGGATAAAGAAAATGTGGTATCAGTGGAGTATTAATCAACTCCAAAGAAGAACGAAATCACATCATTTGCAGGAAAGTGGATGGAACTAGAGGTCATTGTGCTATAAGCCAGATGTGGAAAAAACATATCACATGTTTTCTCTCATATGTGGAGGCAATGATGACAATGATACAATAATAATCCAACCTATAGTTGGAAACAGTAGAGGAACTGCTAAGGAAGGGGAGGGGTGAGAGGGGAGGGGAGGGAGGGTTGATACCACTGAAGCATGGTATATGCATGCTTGGAAATGCTGCAGTAATACACTACTGTGTACAGTTAATATGTATTGATATTAGAACAGACATCACTGTGGCTGTGGTATGGAGAAGAGATCAGAGGAGGCAACAGGAAAATGTGGGGACATCCACAGTTAGGATGAGGCCATAGTCGTGTTTGAGGTGTTGGAGGCTTGAACTATGATGAGCAGGAGGGGCAGCGAGAACAAGGTGGGTGTGAGATGCATTTTGGAGATGACATGAGGAGACTTGCTGGAATTAGAGAAAGTTTTCTCAGGCTTCTGGCATCAGCAAATGGGTGAAAGGTGGTGCCATTGACTGAGGTCCAGGGATTTTGGGGGGTTAATAAAGAAAGACGTTAATTAAGAGATCTGGAACTTGTAAGAGAGATTGGCACTAGTGATGACTAAATGTGGAATCTATCAGAATGTAGCTGGCATTTAAAACTATGGGAGGGGGACAGATAGGGTCAGAAGGGCAGGCATTAGGAATGAGATTTGGGGGAACATCCACAAGGAAAAAGAAAAAGATTACCTGGAGGAAAAGGAGAAAAGCCAGAAGCTGTCCAGCACAGGAGCTGAGGGCCAGCGTTGCCTCTCACAGCAGATGGGGCAGGCTGGGTGAGAGCGGAGTCACTGCACCTAGCGGCACAGAGTGTGCTGCAAGCTTTCTGTGTAGGTGACAGAGGTGAGATCTTTTGTGCTTGGCTGGGTGGCACAGGGGGTTGAGAGCGTCACATAGTGTGTGTAGACATGAGAGAACATGGACATGGGATTCAGAGAATAGCACTTTGTGACATGGTAGCTGCTCCAGTAGGGTTGAATGCTTGCAGAATTGATTGTTAATTGATTTTTATTATCATATTATTGTTGTACTGGGGGTACACTGTGACATTTACAAAAGTTCTTATAATATATCATAGTTGAATTCACCCCCTCCATCATTCTCCTTTATCTCCCCTCCTCTCCTCATTCCCGAAATAGTTTCAACATGTCTCATTTTTCAATTTTCATACATGAGTACATGATCTTTCTACCACATTCTCCCTCCCACACTCTTTCCTTACATCCTCCCCCCTCCCACTGGTACCAAGCCCTCGGAGAGGACCTGTTTTACCTTCCTGTTCTCCGTTTTTGAAAAAAGACATTTTTTTGGTATAAGATAGCTAAACAGGGAGTTTCCTTGCAGTATTTCCATGTATATATATATTGCATACATAGATAATAGAGGGTTCATCCCTTCTATTTTTCTCCTTTCTATCTTAATCCCCTTCTTATGGTGATTTCAACAGGTTTAAATATTCATTTTTATATAGAGAGTACATCAATCATATTCACCTTCTTAACTTCCTTCTTTTAGCTCTTCCTCTCATATGTGAGCTCCCCGTACTGTGACCTGTTTTTCATAATATAGCTGTATTTGTGTTAGATCTATATTCCACATATTACAAAAATCATGCAGCCTTTGTCTTTCTGAACCTGGTTAACTTCACTTAAGAGGATGTCCTCCAGTTCCATTGCAGGATGTATTTAGGGGAGAAGAAAAGGGGGATAATGCCTAGCAGAGAGGAATCATTGGCAGAGTGAATTTGCCTTGTGGCGGGATGAAATCAGATCCAGAGCTCAGAGGGACCAGGGAGGCGCTTCCCTGCTAATTTGCTTTGAGTCTCTTGGATCTAAACAGTCACTTAAGACTTTAATTCCAAGTGGTTCTTTATTCCTTTTCATGTTTATTCTCATGAACAGTGGCAGCCATGACTTATAAAAGGGCTACTTGTGGCATGTCTTATTTAATAAAATGATGGGTTTGTTTGGCCAGAGATGTGAAAGGGTCTGTTTTTTCCTTTCTCAGCAATGTCTGGAGAGCAGAAAATGAGGCTTGCCCTTCACAATCAACTTTGGGATAGAAAAATAACCCTGTTTCAAATGTGGCACTTCCAGATTTATGAGGACAAGCCAGAGAAGCAATTTTTTGGTTTCTGAGAAATAAGTCACCATATCAGTTCATGTATTTCTCCTCCTCCTCCTCCTCCTCCTCCTCCTCCTCTGTCTTCGTCTTCTTTTCTTGAGACTATGTAGCCCAGACTGGCCTTGAACTTGTATCTAATCTGGAGGGCTGGCATTAAAGATGTGTACTACTATGATTGGCCCAAAGTAGGTTTTCAAAATGCTTTTTTACCTCTGCGTTTAAAACAAACACAAGCTACTCCAGCACAGTGGAATTAGAGAAGGGAGCAAGTTGTCTAGTCCAGATATGACTTCTTCTAGAACTGACCGCTGAGGTCTGTCTCCACTGATAGAGAGACAAGAAAATATGGCTCATGGCAGGAATGCCAGTAGACCTGGGGCCTGACACAACCTGTTTACTTCTTCTCTTTCCATTAACGATGATGACACAATGATACTCAACTGTCATTGTTACAACCTTGATCACTGGGATCTGCTTTGTCCTGTCATCATTACTTCTTCCATTGTTGACAGCGTCATCATTACTTCTTCCATTGTTAACAGCATCTCTGTCCTGCGTTTCCCAGCTCTAGGAAATGAGAGGTTGAAATCTGAATGATACATGTGCTTATGAGAGTAGATGGTGGGCAAAATTGCTGCTGCCAGTGTGAGGCCACTGTGTATTATTGATGGTTATGAGTTCCTGCAGACTTTTCTGATAAATCTGTTGCATTAGGAAGGTAAATGAGTTGGAGACTTTAAGCATTGAGAAGAAATAAAACATGCTCATTCCTTCCCTGTCGGATAGTCAGCTCTGAAGTTGTGCTTAGAGCATCCTTCATCTAAGTCAGTGACTGTCACTCCTTGTGCACTACCTGTGAGAGTAAGCAGGAAACATGTCCATTCTCCTTCCTGCTCCTCACAAGTCTCAGAATTAGGCCCGTGTTTTAGCATGTTATAGGGCTTATAAATAATTGTTTCACTGAGATAATTCCCCTTGGGAGACTTTGTAGTAGTTTTCATTGTCTGAATGGCTGCCCGAGGGCTAGCCAGCGTTGAGATGTTATCTTCATCAGTGATGAATGTTGATCAAAAGTTTCTGGATATATCATTAACGACATGTTTTGCTTTTCCAAACTGTGACTTCCTCCAACTTATAAATAGCAGCAAAGTTATTCTGGAATAAAAATAATGGCAGCTAGCCTTCATAGATAGGGCAACTTTGAAAGAGCTTTATACACATTATTTCATTCTCACATAAGAATCTTATGAAGTAGTCTTTCTGTTTTGTTTACATACAGATGAGGAAACTGAGGTTTAGAGAATTTAACTTACCTGAGCAATAAATATACTTAGGAAGCCAAAAGCCAAGATTCACATCTGGATCTGCTGATTTCCAGAAAGTGATTCTCAGTCTTGGGGGTCATTAGAATTGATTAGCAAGCTTGTGCATCTGTGAGCTCAAGTTTAATGTATGGTCAGAGTTAAGAACCAATGTGCTCCACGTGCATTGTCCATGTGGCTATTTAAATTCAACTAAAATTAAATAAAATGAAAGGGTAAATCTTCAGTTACATTAGCCAAAATAAGTGCTCAATGATGACATGTGACTACCATCTAGGACCATGTACGTACAGAGAAATTGCCATAATTGAAGAAAGTTCTATTGAATATCCTTGAGCCTGTACTCACCCCATCTTCCTCCTTGGGACTGGAAGAGGGAACTGAACTACAACCTAATGATTTGGAAATATTTGCTTGCCAGATCTCAGAATGGTTCCCAACATATGTAATTAGGTATGTCTGCTTTGCATATTACTTTAACTTTTTTCAAATTGGGAAAAGCAAGAACCTTTATTTTCTAGGTGGTGATGTAGGAGGATTTTGTTACAATGGTAGTTATGATCTTTCTTATTTTCATTTCACGTTCGTTCTTCAGGATAGATTACTAAATGAATTACTGGGTCTAACAGATCTGAATATATTTAATCCTCTGCAAAACTAGTTTTTCAGAGAGGTTGTACTGTTTTATTCTATTCAAGCATGTTCTTCCTGTTGGGTGTCAGTGGCTTTTGACTGTAATCCAGCAACTCAAAGATCAAGAGGATTGCAGTTCAAAGTCAGTCTGGGCAAATAGTTTGTGAGACCCTATCTCAAAATTTCTCAACACAAAAAAAGGGCTGATGGAGTGGCTCAAGTGGTAGAGTGCCTGACTAGCAAGAATGAGGTGTTGAGTTCAAACCCCAGTGCTGCCAACAACAATAACAAAAGAATGTTCTTCCTGTTGTTCCCTGGACAGCATTCATTGTCATTAAAAGACTTTGCTAATTTGAATGGAAAAATATGGTGCTTTGCTTTAATTTTTATTCTTCTCTTCCTAGAAATTTACTTTTGCTTTTCTACATTTTCTAGAAGTTTCTTGTAATCACAGAACATAAAAGAATGGGATAAACCAGTAGCTTTTTGCTGATTATGTGTACTGTACATGAGACTTCGTAACTCCTATAATTATTTTTGTTTATGTTTTAGTAACAGATTACTTTTATTCTAAGTAAACTGCCATAATTTTAAAGGAAACCTTTTATTGTGTGTTCAGTAGCCATAATTTGAACAGAATAGTTATCATTTTTAATCTGATAAAGTTATTCTTTTTTGTCATTTTGTGTTTTCAGATATTACAACAAAATGTACTTTGTACATTTAAAGTCTCTGTACACTGAGACTTTAAAAACAATCACAAATGATAAATATCATAAAAGTAACGCTTGTAATTGTACTTAAATAGGTTCCCTGAGAAAATGGACTTTTGCCCTACCATGATTCTTTGATGAAGGAGCTAAGCAAGTATAATAGAGGAAATACTGAAATCTGCTGCAGTAGAGTGGTAATTGAATTCAATAGCTAGTTAATGTTTGCTATGGGACTAGAAGCCAGGTTTCCTGCCTTCTTGTCAAGTTCCTTTCTACCCAGCAATGTCCTAGTTCAATGAGTCAGATAAGTGTTAGCACTGGAATAAAACTATAGGTTGAGAAAAATCTCTGATCTAAAAATCCAAAATCTAAAAGCCCCCAAGTCCAAAACTCTGGGCACTGCTACATAAAAACTTTCAGAGTTTGGAGCACTTTGGATTTCAGGGGATCCTCAACCAGTAAAGTTCATGCACATATTCTAAACTCTGAAAGAATCCAAAATGTGAAATACTTCTGGTCCCAGGCGTTAGAGATAAGGAATACTCAGCCTGAATCAGTGTAAGCATAACGTTCTCTTTTGGAGGTCACCAGTGCACATCAGGCTCTACAGGTAACAACAGCTGCTGGAGGTCATGCACTGTTTTACACGTCCAAGAGGTGGGAAGGCCAAGGGTGTTCTTGAGTGAATGCGGTGAGTGAAAGTGGTCATAGCACATCTGGAAAGGCCACTTCATGCTAGGAGCTTGTCTTGGGCCTGCAGTGACTCAGTGTGGATGGGCCTGGGCTCACACATATTGCTCTCATTGCTCCATGAGAAAGATCGCAATTTGCCTTTCAATCTAGATCAATAAGAAGGCTGGACATCTTCTGTAAAGAGAAGACGTTTTTGATAAACTTGGGTCTGCAGCAGTAGTAGTAATGATTAGAAGGTGACAAGCCAGATAGGAGGACAGGAAAGTGCATGCCTATTAGGAAACTCCTGTGAAGTCTGAAACTGTGCCAGAGTCCCGTGGTTTCATACAGCTTGCTGACCACTTTCCTATCCTTCAGCAGTTGGTCACGATACACTGCTTATACCTGATGCTAAATAATGATTTGAAATTCCTTAGCAACTTGTTAACAGGCTACTTCTTGGACTTGGCAATGCTCTGTGAGGTAAGAGGGTTGAGTGACTTAGGAAACTTATTGATGACACAGATTTTAAAACTCCCTCTAATACCTGCTTTCTTCTAGGAAGTTTGTGTCTGTGTTACAGCCCAAAGTGTGACTCCCAGGAACAAATCACTTATTCAGTGTTTTACTTTCATAAAGGTACTTATCACTTATTCTTTTTTACTTTTACATAATTGCTATTTCCAAATAGTAGCAAATTAGATTTTAAGTCTTATCTCTTAATTTATTTATTATCTCTTACTTTTTTCAGTATATTATGTACTTGTATATTTGCATAATACATGCTTTCTGAAGAAATTCACTAATGGTAAATATTAAATTAGGTAAATACTAGAGACTGCATTTTTAAATTATCTTGCCCTATCCCTTTCTCAAGGCCTGTGGACCAGTTTAAGGAATATGTTTGCACAAGGTGTGTTGGTTTGCCTTTCAGTTATTACTAAGTGGAAAGTATCTATAGCTTTAACTCATATAGGGTTTTACTTAAAAATTTCCATGATCAGAGACCTAAACAGGCTTTAGACTGAGATAGGCTTATTTCGTTTCACACATCTGTGGCCCAAGATACTGGTATGGGAACAGGTTGGGAACAAGAGTAAATATCCAGCCTTTGCCAGTTCTGTAGTCAGCCTCAGTGTGCCCTGCAATAGTTTTAGTCTGAACCATATTAAGAAATATTTATTTTGTTTAGCTCCTCAAAAATCATATTTGGGAGGATGGAGGTCTGGTCAAGCAGTATACTGCCTGCCTAATAGGAGTGAAGTCCCGAGTTCAAATCCCAGTACCTCCAAGAAAAAAAATGTATTTGTGTAGTACATACTGTGAGTGTAGTTAGAAAATTTTAAAAGATGTATATTTTCACAATATTTAAGAAATTTTATGCCAAGCTGCCGCAGAGTTTGTTATTCTGCAGGAGAGCCTAATATTACCTTGGTGTTTGAGATCAAGGTAGAAAAGTTTAAAAACTTAATAATGGAGAAACTAAAAGTCACTCTAGAACTAGACATGTATGCATACTTAAATAGTGTAAGATTCTGTGAAAAGTTTTCAGACGTTCTTATAATGATTAATTATTAAATCAGCAGATAAACCTTTTCTGCAGATTAAGAATGAGGAAAGTAGAATGAAGGCCAGCACATTGAGTTTACTAGGCAGTGGCAGTGTCATCTGCTCTCCTCCGGCTCATAGATCATGAAGGAGATTCCTCAGATCCTTCCCTTCCTGAACAATCCATCCCTAGGATTGTGCCTGAGCCAGGAACAGCTGCTAGATTATGCTGCTCTCAAGTGGTCCCCTGCACTGTTGGCTTTTGGAGAGTGAGGGCCACCGTGAAATCTAGAAGTCAGTGGATGCCCACTATCAGTGTCGCAGTCACTGAAAGCTGAGAGTGCTATGTAGCATCACTGCCTTGACTACCGACCTGGCTTTGGCATCTAACTTCCTTTCTCTGGTTTCGTGTTTTCTCTCTGCAGGATACAGCAAGACTTTCACTGCTGCCGTTGGGAGTACTGGCTCACACACATCCAAGGCCATTACTTTCCTCAACCTTGGTGGGTGAGGAACACATACATCGCTCAGTTGTGCCTATTCTCCCAGTTTATGCCAGGTCTCATTATCTGCTGTCTTGTTTTCTTCTCTGTGCACCCCGTTTTCTCAAGCATTGGCTTATAACGACAATCACTGACCTCTTAAGCCTGCTCAACTCCATTAGCTTTTGGGTGGAGGTGTGTCTTCCTGCTTTAAAGAATCTGGTCTGTGAGCTTTCTTATGGTTTTGGTAGTCTTTAAAAAGCCCTTTGTTGGCATACAAATAATGACCATGAATAAGCTAGTACCTCCTAGCCTTTGAGAAATGATACTGTATGTTGACCCTTGATTCTAGAGGGATAAGAGCCTTTGGGAAGTTGTCCACTCCCAGTTGCTAATCATGAAAACCTTCTAAGTCTCATTAATGCTTTATGGACCAGCTTGAGTGAGTTGTTTTCACTGAGTAAGTATGGTGAAGGAAGCTGAGGGGTAGACTGGGCATGCTAAGGAATAATGAAGAAAGTAAAGAAGAGGCTCACTGTATCTCCCTACTAAAAGAAGCTTTTAAAGGCTAGTTGGGATGTGAGGTGCAAAGAATTTAGCACAAGAACTAAGTGATAGATAAACCGGTGCTTGCCTACATGTGGGGCCTGACACAATATTTACAGAAGGAAAGCTTCCGGTTTAGAGAGCATGATTTCTTGATATGTTTTCCCATCCCTGTTCCCCAGTCCATCTGCTGTCATGACAAAGGGTGAGGAGGACTGAGAGTTTGGCTCAAGTGGTAGAGTACCTGCCTAGCAAGTGTAAGGCCCTGAGTTCAAATCCCAGTACCATAAAAAAAATTGCTATAGACAAAGGGTGAGGAAAGTATGATGTGAGGGGACTGAGAGAAGCAAGAACCAAAAATAGGTTCACACAGAGACTTTGAATGATACTGTTGATGAGGTGTGTGGCCCATTGTGACATGATTTCAGAACCTGTGGGAAATGGCCTTAGGGAGGCCTAGCTCCACTGCTTCTTGTGATAAAGGAGAGAAATATAAGGTTTTCTGCATCTGGAGCTTGATGCTTATCCATGATGCTGTGTCAGCATCCCAGTTCAACAGCAATGTGGAAACTTTCCATTAAAAACCCTGAGCTTTTTGTGAGGGCTAAGGTGTCTTCCTCTTTGTCCCCCTGGGAATGGGTTAAAAAGGGCAGGCAGATCTAATCTGTGGTCCTCAGAGTGTGGAGAGGGCAGAAATACTAGAGCTTGGGAAAATGGGCTGTCTATTAGAGTTCCTCTTTCCAAATAAGGTTGGTTTATTTCATAGGCACAAAACTGTACCAAGATTTAAACTGTTCTAGAAGGAATTTTTAGGACAACAGCATTACTTTTTTGAGTGATGTCTTTTACTATTAATTGCTTTTAATTTCCCTGCATTGTTATGTTATACCATTCAAAGGGGCTTATGTTGATTATAATAGTAATGAACAGAGTTAAGTATTTTTCCATGAACCCCATACAGATCTGTATAAGAAAGATATACATATAAATAAAAAGCTGCCATTTGATTAATAAATACTATAAGCTAAATATTTTACTTACTTTATCCTTACAAAAATTCTGCTTGGTGATTGTATCCCCATTTTACAGATAATGCAACTGAGTCTTAGAAAGGGTGAGATGTGAGCACAAGCTTCTTTTCATGTCTCTCTTGAGGGCCCAATATCCATTTCTCATTGCCATGACAAATTACCAGACTGAGGACTTAAAACAACACAAATACTCTGTGGCAGGCATTTCCCTCCCTGCCCCCATGCTCTGGTACTAGAGGTTGAACTCAAGGTCTTGAGCTTGCTAGGCAGGTGCTCTTATCACTTGAGCCACTTTTTGCATTGGTTATTTTTGAGATAATAGGGTCTTGTTTTATGCCCTGGCTGGCCTGGACTGTGATCCTCCCATTTTTGCCTTCTTGCATAGCTGGGATGACAGGAGTGCACCACTTTGCCCAGCCATTTGTTGAGGTGGAATCTTGTGAACTTTTTGCCTGGGCTTACGTTGAATCCTCATCCTCCTGATCTGTACCTGTTGAGTAGCTAGGATTACACATGAGAGCCACTGTACTCAGCTTCTGTTGCAGTTTTGAAGTTCAGAAGTCCCAAAGGAGTGTGAGGAACTAAAATCAAGGTATAGGCACGGCAGCTTCCTTCCGCAGGCTCCCGGGAAGAATTCATCCCTTGCCTCCTCTAGCATTTAGTGGCTAGTTTTTCTTGGCTCATTGGCCATATCATGTGAGTTGCTTTTGCCATACATGGTCCTCTCTTTTCTGTACCCAAATCCCCCTCCACTGCCTCCTTACAAGGACTTTTATGATTACATTATGGCTCCACCTGCACAATCCAGGATACTCTGTCCATCTCAAGATCCTACTCCCATCTGCAAGGTCTCTTTATCACAAAAGGTAGCATATTTATGGGCTCTGAGATCAGCACATGAATACCTTCAGGGCCGTCCTTTAGCTTACTACAGGTACTACTAACATTTCTGATGAGACAGACATTCTTCCTGTGAGACTGTCCTGTACACTGGGCATTGAACATCCCTAAAGCTGAGTCATCAGGTGCCAGTGGGAAGCCCCAACCTACCCTAATGATCATGACAATCCAGAATATCCTTCCATATTTCCAAAAGACCCCTTCCCCAGAGACACAGCACCACCATGATTAGGTGGTTAAAAGTTGTTTTAGAAGTTTCCCTAGGCCATTTCCACTATGCTCCACTAGATCGTTACTCGTGTTTTTCTACAAAGGTGTTGCCATAATAATATTATATTATGTTCATTTGTGTTTTAACACCACTTAACCTTCGTGTTCTGAAACACTTAACTGGTTAGAGTTTTAGATCTTCTTTCTTTCTTTTCCCACAGAATCTTCCATGTCAATGATTAGCATGTGTTTCTTTGCTTCTTAGAGAAAGGAGTCACTTAACATCAAAATGTTTCTGCTAAGTGAAATTCACTGCTACCCTGTGAATTTCTCTGTTTTTGTAAGACCCTAGAAAAATTATTGGCAAGGGCTATTTCCACCCTCCTGTTGTCCAGGACCCTATTTTTATACCATGTGTCAATCTGAGTACGAATGCTCTGGTTACACAAATGCCTGAGATAGGGACCTCAAAGATGTGATTCTAGGCAACTGGCCATGAAAGGAAATGAATTCACACTTCACAAAATGTCAGAATGCCTGTGGAGATTGTCTTGATGAATATTAATTTAAAGCTTCTGTGAACAAAATGTTAATGACGATGAAAAGTGGATCAACACGGGAAACTAAGTTTTAGTTTTCCATGGCCAAAATGATGAAGAAAATTCCCATTATTAGCTATTCCCAGTCTATCAAATTAAGGAATGATTCATGTTGCTTAGTATTCTTCTTGCCTAATTTCCTCTCGATCATTCATATTCTCATAAAGCCACAATCAACTTAGAAACAAAACTACAGGTATACACACATAAATATGGCTAAATGTCCAAAGAAAATTAGCCACAGACAGAAATAAATGTGATCTGGCTACTAAGATGAAATGTATAGGCATCAGACAGCTTGTTATTAAATTGGTAAAAAGTTTTGTGTTGGGAGAGGTTTAAAGAAAAGTCGAGTTTATATGTAGTTCTGGGCTTTATCTGAACTTGTGTAGCTCTTACCATATGTAGATGACATAAATCTTTCTCTCTACAGGCTATTATGTGGCTGTTTACTTACCCGGGCATTTCTTTCATTTGTTGAGCATTCAACATCCAGACCTGATTTGCCACAGTCTGTTTCTGACAGGTATGACTATAGCCCTTCTCACAGGTCTGGTCCATTTGGGTGTGCTTTGACTTTGATATGTGCTTGGGTGAGAAGAGGGTCTTTTATTTGCTAATCTGCTTTATTCTTTTATTTTTGCCAGAAAACAACAAAATGATTGATATGCTACCTCCTAACCCTATACAGTCACTGTCAGTTTCCCTGGTACTGGATCAGTGTTCTGGAAAGCTCTATAGAGTGTTCCTTGACCAGTCATACTTATTGTGGTTCCTATGGAACACATGCCTAGACTGTGAGAAGATGGCCACATTGCACTGTGTGCTGTCATGTGGCCAAGACCCATGTTTCTTGGAAGACCAGGTGAGAACATGGTTCATGTTTAAATGTGAGCAAACAGACAATACCAAATGGATATATTTAGTGGTAAAATGATCACAACTTATGTTTAATTTGGTAATAGTTAAGTGAGGATTATGGCCTCTGTCTTGACTTGAACATATTCTTTTTTTTTTAATTTTTATTTTATTCATATGTGCATACAATGTTTGGGTCATTTCTCCCCCTTCCCCCCGCCCCCACCCTTACCCCCCCACCACCCCATCCCTTCCCTTATCCCCCCTCTGCCCCCTCCCTTACCCCCCCACTCCCTCCCTTACCCCCCCTTACCCCTCACTACCAGGCAGAAACTACTTTGACCTTATCTCTGATTTTGTTGAAGAGAGAGTATAAGCAATAATAGGAGGGAACAAGGGTTTTTGCTAGCTGAGATCAGGATAGCTATACAGGGAGTTGACTCACATTAATTTCCTGTGCCTGTGTTACCTTCTAAGTTAATCCTTCTCGAACTAACCT